GGACCACATGGTCACTTGACAAATGTCTTGGACAGGGACATGTGCCAGAAAGGCCGTTGACAAGGCCTGTGCCCAGGTTGAAAGGGCTGACCATTGATGGGCTGGCACCTTCGCTAAGTCATAAGAAGTTCAAATACACCTCATGATCCAGGAGGATATCCTCTGGGCTGTGACCAGGAGTCCTCTCATCCTTTCTGCTACTGCAAAAAACAACTGATTGACCTTCCTAAGTGGCTTAGTACAGTGTTTCTTAAACTTTTTAAGACTCAGGAACACCAAACAATATTTTTTTTAAATGAGAAGCACCGAGGATTTTTTGTTCAGCACCAAAAAAAATAAAAAAATAAAAAAATAAAAAGTCGGGGGGGGAGGGTCAGGAGGAAACTTATCGAGGAAAAGAAGGTCACCTGCCCCTTTAAAGGTGGCCATTTTGAATTCTGTTGTTCTCCACAGCACACCTCCAAATTCCTCACGGAACACCAATGTGCCACGGAACACAGTTTAAGAAACACTGGCTTAGTATGTTCAAGGTAAAAAGCTAAGGCACACCTGACATCCAGGGAATGTAGGCACCTGTCCCGGGGAGTAAGGTGAGGCTTAGGGTAAAACACCAGTAGGAAAATGTCTTGTGACACATGGAAATGGGAAATCACTTTTGGGAGGAACGAAGGACGGGGTCTCAACTGAATCTTATCTTTCAAAGAAAACAGTATAAGGGGGTTCCAACATTAATGCTTTTTAGTTTAGAAATTCATCTGACCAAAGTAATGGCCACCAAAAATACAACTTTTATTGACAAATACAATATAGAACAAGTAGCTAACGGCTTGAAAGGTGGAGCCATTAACTTTGACAAAACCAAGTTTAGATCCCATTGGGGCACTGGGTGCCTTACATGAGGATACAATATGTCTAACCTCTTAAGAAACTTTCTCACCAAGCAGTCCACAAATACTGAATGGCCCCCCGACCCAGGGTGGAATGCCAATAGTGTACCTTAATGGAGGAAGTGGCCAGCTCCTGCTGCTTCAACCCCACAAGATACTTTAAAATACAGGACTATGTAGCACTTTAAAGACTAACAAGATGGTTTATTAGATGATGAGCTTTCGTGGGCCAGACCCACTTCCTCAGATCAAATAGTGGAAGAAAATAGTCACAGCCATATATACCAAAGGATACAATCAAAAAAATGAACGGGGTTTGTTGCAAGAGAAAGTTCCAGGATTGATATTAGTGTCATATGTCCTGTGGTTGTTGGTAAGAATCATCCATGGATCGTATGGTGTGTGCTGGATGGGAGCTGGAAGCATGTAGGTAACTGTATGAGTCAGTGGGTTATCTGTAGAGGGTGGTGTCTAATTTTCCATTGTTGATTTGTACTGTGGTGTCCAGGAAATGGATCTCTCGTGTGGAATGGTCCAGGCTGAGGTTAATGGTGGGGTGTAGGTTGTTGAAATCTCTGTGGAATGTCTCCAGTGTTTCTTGGCCATGCGTCCAGATCATAAAGATGTCATCGATGTAGCGTAAGTAGAGAAGGGGTAAAAGGGGACGGGAGTTGAGGAAACGTTGTTCTAGGTCAGCCATAAAGATATTAGCATACTGTGGGGCCATGCGTGTACCCATGGCTGTGCCGCTGATTTGGAGGTATAAGTTGTTCTCAAACTGGAAATAATTGTGGGTGAGAACAAAGTTACATAGGTCTGCTATCAGGTTGGCAGTGGTGTCCTCTGGGATAGTGTTTCTAAAGACTTAGTTTACATTAACGTTTGACTGCTGCGTGTAGCCACAGGCAGTTAGTTCGGACTAAGGGGATTTAAAAATGGCACCCGGATGGGAAGATGCAAATAAAGCCCGGGATATTTAAATCCCGGTCTTCAATTGCAACTTCAAATGCCTACATTAGCGTTCCTAGTTCGAACTAGGGGGCTAGTGTAGACATACCCTTACAGTCCTTGGTCTTGACAGTGGGACCCTGGTGATCTTGGTGTTCCCTAGCATTAGCCACATCCAGCACCAGAGTGCCAGGTTGTGGGTGTGTGTATATAAGTCCTTGTACCCCTTAGAAGGGGCAAAGTACCGCTACACAATCACTTTAGCGATCAGGGGGATAGAAGCCGGGGTCTATCAGAGGGTTTTCATGGTGGAGCAGATAGTTGTGATAAAAAGGAGAGTCACTCTGGACACCTGCTCCAGAGACAAAACATCCACCATAGGAGCTGCATTCTCCACCACCTCCTCTATTTGCAGACTCATACTTTGGGCCATATGCCTTGAGTACTTGGTACGCCCTATTGTCCAGAGGAGGTAGCAACATCACCACCCCTGCTATTGCCTCATTGGGTGATGATGAGGACATGGGGTCCCACATCTCCCCTTCTTCCTGTTCCATGTCTGGTACTGGGACTGGTCCTGAAGGCACATGCCTCTGGTCACCAACACCAGAGTGTGGTGAAATGGGTGGCACTGGGCATGGAGGTGTTGCTACAATTCAAAGGTGAAAGCGCTGCAGGGAGCATGGAGCCAGTGGGGGACTCAAGCAGTCCCTTACTGGTCCTGTGCTCCCCACAGCGTTTCAAAGCAGAAGCGCCGCATGGACTCAGAGTCCCCAGCTGATCTCAGGCTCCAGGCAGCACTATTGCTTTGAAAGGAGTCAGGCTCCACACAGCGTTTCAAAGTGGCAGTGCCGCATGGCACTCAAGGTGTAGCGCTGGGCTCCACACAGCACTGCTGCTTTGAAGCTTCCCTCCCCCCGCCTCTTTCTGAAAGAGGCAGCAAGGGGAGGGGAAGTCCTTGTCGACTAGCTGTTCACATCCCCATACAGGAGCCCTCACTGGAGTGGCGCAGAGATGATCAGTCCCAGCTCCTTCATAGGTACTGACTGGGAGGACTCCACCTTGTACAGGTTCCGAGGTGAACGGTGCCAAGGTGAAAACAATCTTCTTAATATTGGAGGCTTGCACCTTGACTGCACCAGGCCCAGTACCAGCAACTAACCCTGCAGGAACACTGACCAGCATAACATTAGCTCAATCAGGTTGCGGGCTGCTCCATATGTCTCCGAAGTGGATGGCATGTCCACATCTGCCATTTGACTCTCCCAGGATGGGGAGTCCATCTGCACTTGACTCAATGGGACCAGCAGAGATGCCACGGTTAACGGTGCTGCATCGGTGGGTTGTTTCAAAGGGTGCTCCAACTCAGGGTGCAACCCTGGAAGCTTTCTAGCTTTCGAAATAGAGGACCAGCATCTTTCCCGCCTCTGATGGGTTTTTTGTTTTGTTTTGCACCGGAGAACGGGATCGGTGCCAAGAACTAGCCTTTGGTGAATGACGGTGCTGGGATGGCTTGTCCAACTCCTTATGCAGAGCCAGTGCACTCAGCTCCAATGAAGATGCACTGTGCACTGAGGTCGCTGATTCTGGTCCCACAGCCTGCAGTGCTGGATGGGGATTCAAGGAAGCCTCCATCTGCAGATTTCAGAGGCGAAACTCTCTGTCCCTTTTAGTTCTTGACATAAAGGCCCTACAGATCTTGCACTTATCTGCTAAGTGGGCCACTCCCAAACACATAAGGCAGGAGTCCTGTGGATCAACCGTAGGCATAAACTTTGTGCACTGTCTGCACTGCTTGAAGCCAGGGATCAGAGGCATGCCCTGGCCCCAAAGCAGGGAAAAACCATAGGAGTCCCTGTGACAAACTTAACTAACAACTACTTAACACTTGAAAGAACTATCTTTAAAGACCAACTAGGGAAAGCATGTGCTTGCCAGAGGCATGAGATACTAGCTCTGGTCACTGGAGGTAAGAAGGAACTGAGAAAGGGCCGTCGGCAAGGTATTATATAGGCCGGGGCCTCCTCTGCTGACCTGCAGTAATCTGCTAGGTAAAATCTTCCTGGCAACTGTGTGCACTGTGTACATGCACCTAGCGCTCAAAGGCATCTGAGGCAAAATGTATCTAGCGCTCTGCCCATCTGTAGAAGTGGGTTTTGCCCATGAAATCTCATGATACTATATTTTTGTTTGTCTCTAAGGTGCTACAGGACTACTCATTGCTTTTAAAGCTACAGACTAACACAGCCATTCCCACTGAGACTTTTAAAGAATGCAAACAGTTAATTGTAGGAGGAAAGCTTTTTCAAGCTTTCTTTTGCTAGGAAGGTCCATGCGATTTCCAAACAGATCTAGTGTTGACAATTGCCTTGGCTGGGCTGGGATCCTCCCCCAACTCAGCACAGGCTCCTATATTCCTGTACCATTTGCAAGTACCATTTGCTGCTTGCCAAACACAGGGGCCCCATTAGTAGTACGAGCAGAGATCACAGAGGGTCAAATACTCCAAGCAGAATCAATCATCATTTATTTGCTGTGGGGGTTGATGGGAAGTGGCAGCAGAGATACCAAGGACTAGAGGAAGGATGGAGAAACAGGGAAGTACCATGCCTCATTTAACTGGCCAGCATCTACCAGTAGCATGTATTAATCCCACCACCCTCCCAGAGCTGTGAAGAGAACCCAGGAGTTCTGACTTCAGGCTCTGATCTATTGATTAAGTATTAGATTAAACAAAAAATTTTCTTCCACTATTTGATCTGAGGAAGTGGGTCTGGCCCACGAAAGCTCATCACCTAATAAACCATCTTGTTAGTCTTTAAAGTGCTACATAGTCCTGTTTTTGTTTCAGCTACACCAGACTAACACGACTACATTTCTATCAGTATTAGATTAAAGTTTTACTGTCATTCTTCTTACTACTACTCTAACCTACTCTCTTCCAGAGCCAAAACAGAAACTGACTCCCAGCACTCCCCACACACCCCTCGTAGAGCCAGGAACATCAACCAGGGATCCTGACTCCCCACTCTTGAGCTTAAACACTAGAACAGATGTGTGCTGTTCCAAGATGCAATTCCCCAGCCTTAGTCAGTTCTCACACCCTGTTATCCAGGCCAGGCCCACAATGACAAATATTGGGGTAGCAAGAGCCACAACGCGTACCTTCTTCGACTTGGTGAAGAAGGCCTGCTTGATCTCTTCCATGGTGGCATCTTGCTTGATTCCCAGCAGGTCATAGTAATTGCTGTGGCCAGACCTAAGGGAAAAAAGGCATAGGTAAGCTCATCATTCTCAGAGCCAGAGGCTGTACTGATAAGCAGTGTTCCCTCTAAGATTTTCCACTGTGAGTGGAGAAATTATCTTGTGCACCAATATTGAGGTCATGTGAGCTTGTTCAGATGTGTGCCAACCTGGCACCCAAATTATTAACAAATATCTTATACAGACATTTGAAATGTTATGGAAGAAAGAATAACTAACACAAGGGATAACTAACAAGGTGCATGACTTTAAGTGTTTGTTTAATATGAAGTCAAATAAGAAAATTACTACTGCAAAGTTTTCAGTATGTTAGATTAGCCTCAAGGCTACTCTAAATCTGCACTGTCCACAGTTGACTAGAAGTCATAGGAGGCCCAAAATACCCCTATTCCAGGAACTTTAGGTAGAGGCACCAAATAGCCATTTCATTGGCTTTAAGCAAGATAGGGAGTCCCCTACTTACACTGGGGATAAGGCCCAATTAGGGAAGTGAGATCACTGCCTTTAGGGTACTTTTGTGCCACTGGTGTGCAAAATGGTTCTAGGACAAGAAAGAATGGAGCCTATTATTCATTGTTTTATCTGTATCATGAGGTTTCTAAGGATACACAGACACTGTCAAATAATAAACAGTATTTGTAAATGTTGTTTTACAAACCTTAACCTATACTGCCTGACTTTGGAGACTCTCTTTATATACAGTAGAATGCTGGTAAGAGAATATCAGGGAGGTCACAATGTTTAAATAGTTGGTATGGCAGAATGTAATAATATAAATTACATATCTATGTATGCAGGCACACTACAACCTGTTATTCTTAAACAGTGTGAATTCTAAACAACAGGCGCTTTGCCTATTGCAGTGAATAGTTTTTAATGTAATGGGAATGTTCATGAGACTAAACACAATGCTAGCTAACAGATTGAGCTGTTGGCCCCCTAACCCAGCCATCTGATCCATGTTTGCAGACCCTGCATGTGTGTAGCATTCCAAAGTAGGGATGTTAATTATTGGTTAATTGAATAGTCGAATAACCTCATGAATTCTTATCGGTTAGTCAACTATTCTATAGTCCTGGGGGGCAAGGCCAGCAGCCACTGTATCAGAGGCAGCAGCATGGGGTGCCAGGCAGAAGCTGGTCCGCGAGGGGAGCCAGTTTAAAAACCAGTTCCCATTGCAGACAGGCTGGCTGTAACCTTGTGCTGCTGCCTCTGATAAAGAGGCAGCAACACAGGGTGGCAACAGCCCCTGTCTGGAGGAAAGGGGGTCTGAGCTCCCGGACACGGCACGAGCCAGAACTGAGCTGGACTGCCTGCCCATCTGGCTCCTAATACACTTTAAATGCAGAGCCACAGTGGGGATAGGTCCAGGAACCAGCATGAGCCAGGACTGAGCCAGTATGCTGGCCAGCCTGCTAAAAAAGTTACTGGCAAGGGGCAGGGGAAGCAAATGCGTGTAGTCTATAGTATTCATAGAATCATAGAATCATAGGACTGGAAGGGACCTCAAGAGGTCATCGAGTCCAGCCCCCCGCCCTCAAGGCAGGACCAAGCTCCGTCTACACCATCCGTGACAGATGTCTATCTAACCTGTTCTTAAATATCTCCAGAGAGGGAGATTCCACCACCTCCCTTGGCAATTTATTCCAATATTTGACCACCCTGACAGTTAGGAATTTTTTCCTAATGTCCAATCTAAACCTCCCTTGCGGCACTTTAAGCCCATTACTCCTTGTCCTGTCCTCAGAAACCAAGAGGAACAAATTTTCTCCTTCCTCCTTGTGACACCCTTTTAGATATTTGAAAACCGCTATCATGTCCCCCCTTAATCTTCTTTTTTCCAAACTAAACAAGCCCAGTTCATGAAGCCTGGCTTCATAGGTCATGTTCTCTAGACCTTTAATCATTCTTGTCGCTCTTCTCTGTACCCTTTCCAATTTCTCCACATCTTTCTTGAAATGTGGCACCCAGAACTGGACACAGTACTCCAGCTGAGGTCTAACTAGTACAGAGTAGAGCGGCACTACAAGTCTACAAGCTTTTGCTTATCAGCAAATAAGTTAACTGACTGCACTATTACACCCTATTCCAAAGGCCCCACCTTGTAATGTATGTATCTGTAAAATGCCACACACGCACCGTGTGTCTGACTAACAAAACCAACAACCCATTTATGAAAAATGTTGTCTATGCATTTGGCCAGCCAAGTGTATAATCACTGTTGTGCAGTTGGGCACACTTTACCAGTGAGGGGCTATCCAGCTTCCTCCCCCCATCAGCAGTGTCTGAGCCACTGGCCCCCAGAGGAGCCACTGCCCTGCCACCTGGCCACAGCCCTAACCCCCAGCTGCAGCCACCCACCCACCATGTAGCAATGCCCTCAGCTCCCGCCCTGGGGAAGGGCTGGAGCTGGGGCCAGGGCCACATGGTGGCTGCCAGGCTGTGTGGCGGCTGCTAGAACAGGAGTCCGGGCTGTGATGCAGCTGCTCCTGGGGCTAGGGCCAGGCCACAGTGTAGTTGTCCCAATGGCCCCAGCCCCAGGAGCGGCTGCATTGCAGCCCGGGCTTCCACTCCAGCAGCCACCCACCATGCGGCCCTCCACACAATCCATCCCGAGAGCAGCCAGGCAGCCATCACACAGCCCTAGCCCCAGCTCCAGCCCTGGGGAGTTGGGGACAACAGAGAGCTGCCCAGCTAAGCCCCCACTTGCCCAGCAGCAGCAGCTTACCTACCTCCACTGGCATGCTGCTGCACAGCTCTGCTTAGGTGTGTGTGGCATGTTACAGATACATACATCACAATGAGAAGTTGAAGATTTATTAATAAGCCAATGGTTAGGGCTTCTGTGTGTAAGGAAGTGGTCACCATCCAGTAGATCAGGCTCTCCTGGTAGATCTTGGAGCCTCTGACAGGTGATCCTGACTGGTTTGGCTGGGAAGCTATCAAGCACTGGCACTTCAATTGCCCCTCCACCCACTATCATGCTGCTCCTGACCTCTGCCTTGGAGCTTCCCCCCCCCGGGGGCCTCCTGCTTGCTGTGCAGGGTGTGTGAGGGAGAAGATGGGCAGGACGCTGATGTCAGGGTGTCCCTCCTCTCCCCACTTCAGTACCCTATCTCCACACAGAGAGAAAGGGATGGAGGGAGCTTGGCAATGCAAATCTGACACACACACTGTGTGTGTCTGTCATTCTCAAACACATGGGCTGTGTCTAGACTGGCAAGTTTTTCCGCAAAAGCAGCCGCCACACTTCCCAGCTGTCTACACTGACCGCTTGAATTTCCACAAGAACACTGACTTCCTACTGTCTGAAATCAGTCCTTCTTGCGGAAATACTATGCGCAAAAGGGCCCGTGTAGACAGCTCAGATTTGTTTTGCACAAAAAAGCCCCGATCACGAAAATGGCGATCGGGGCTTTTTTGCGGAAAAGCGCGTCTAGTTTGGCATGGACGCTTTTCTGCAAAAAGTGCTTTTGTGGAAAAGCGTCCGTGCCAATCTAGACGCTCTGTTACGAAAATGCTTTTAACGGAAAACTTTTCCATTAAAAGCATTTCTGGAAAATCATGGCAGTCTAGACATAGCCTGTGAGTAGTGAGTTCTAAAATGCCTAACCTGTTGTGGCTGGAGTAATTATCCCTATGGTAATTACTGCTCCTGGAAGTGGCTGGCATGTCCATGCAGCCCCTGAGAAAGGCAAAGCGGGGGGTCTCTACAAACTGTCCTTGCCTGCAGACACCACTTCTGCAGCTCCCATTGATTAGTAACAGGAACCGGGGCCAGTAGAAGCTGTGGGCTCAGTGTCTGTAGATGAGGGGCAGAACATGGTGCCATGGAGCCATTGTTGTACATGCTACATTCAGGAGTGGTGCAGGGCTAGGGCAGGAGTAAGTCTGCCTTAACCCTGCTGCTCCACTATCCAGAAGCTGTCTTAGTTAAGCAGTGCCCAGCCAGAGCCTCCTGCATCCCGAACCACCGTCCCAGCCCCAAACCACTTTCTACACCCAACTTCCTGCCCCAGATGTGAGTCCCCCTGCAACCAAGCTCTTCCTCAGAGCTTGCACCCTGAAACTCCTCCTGCACCCTAATCTCCTGCCCTGGGCTAAGCCCAGAGCCCCTCCCACACTCTGAACCCTTTAGCCCAAGACAAGAGCCTGCACCCCTACCCCCTACCCCAGCCTAGTGAAAGTGACTGAGGATGAGGGAGAAAGAAGGATGGAGTGAGTAGGGTGAGGCCTTAGAGAAGGGGTGGAGCAGGGGCAGGGCCTCAAAGAAGGGGCAGGAAGAAAGCAGGGAAAGGGTATTTGGGTCTGTGGTAGAGCTTATATTGTACTTAAATTGAAAAAGTGATCCTGTGGTTTAAAAGGTTGGAGACCACTGGTGTAAGGAAATAGTTCGTGTGTCAGAATGAGTAAACAAGTGTGTGTGAAAGAATAACAAATGCTGGCAAACATGCAAGTAAGCAAGCAAATGCAAGTGTGAGTGTGTGTGAGGGAACACATGTAAGCAAGTGTGTCTGAGTGAGCAAATGCATATGCAAGAACAAGAACGTGTAAAAATAAGAGACTGAATGAGTGAGTGAGTGAACGTGTAATAGTGTGAGCAAACGAGAACATGTTTAAGAGAATGAATGTGCTGGTTCTCCTTGAAGGAGAGATTTATCAATAACCCAATATGAGTATGTAAGAGAAAAAGTATGTGCACATACAACCAAGAGCGTGTGTGCAAGTCTCTTTCTCTCTAGAACAGGAGGTTCATTAGTAACACTCTGGATCAGGCATGTGTGCGTGTGTGTCTAACATTTCCCAGCTGTGTATATGTAATCTCTATAAACTTGCAGACGTAAGCCACTTTCCGTCGTTAGTTGCACAGGCCCGGAAGGGAGATGAAACACTGATGTTTTTACTGTCTTCTCCCATTGCCCTTTTGTTTGTGGCATAAATCTTGTTAATTTAGCTGGAGTCTTTGCAAGCCAATCAGGTTTTAGTTAAACAGGTGCAGCTCCTGGGAAGGACTTATGTTATGCTGCGTATCCCTTTATTCTCATCCCTCCACTAAAAAAGAGATACTGAAAGACAGACACCATAGGAGATGGTGCCCTGGTGCCCCAACACCATATTATACACACTCACCTGTTTGAAAATGTGGTAAAAAATCTCCGTTGTGTGGCACTTCTGCACTGAAAGCAGCACTGGCAGATGAGGTGGGGGATGGACAGAGGCATTTTCAGAGCCCGGGAGCACCATGCGGAGAGCTGGAAGAAATTCAGATCTGCAAGGGTGGGGAGAAAGAGACAGCTGCTGGAAAACCATATGGAAACAACTGATGAAGTACTGGCCCTTTGAAATGAGCCATTGGTCAGTTACCATCCTAGGATAAACTTCCAAGAGAGGCAAATATGAGATCAGGCAGACACCAATTAGGCCCTGCTCAGCAGGACCAAACCTTCTGTACACTTATTCATGTTCTGAGTCTACACGTTGGAATGAAGTGAAGTACTTGCGTAAATTAATGCAGGATAAGAGTTCTGCTGTAGGGGACTTTGTGGTAATTATCTGCCTTCACTTACAATGTACATTGGCCCTCACTAAGGTCCCTTGTCACACTACATCTCCCATAATGCACCATGCTTTCCCATCTTGCTGAGCTGCTGCAGTGTTTCATGGCGTTTATATATTTCAGATACCTCATGTTCCAGTTTTCTATAGGCTGGGCTTCCTGGTCACACTACATCTCCCAGGATGCACCAGAGCCAAATTTGAATATTTTGGCTTTTGGTCATCTAGTATTTAGACAGGACGCAGATGCTTTTCAGAAAACATTTGTATAAGAAAGCTCCCAATTTTCTATCAAAAAAGTTTAAGTGAAGCTTTCCATGTCACTTTGCTTCTGTGGGCTGGTGGAGTAATAAATGAAGAGAGCGAGACAGAGAGGGTGAGCGCTGACAGTCTGACAAGGCAGAAATAAGATCATTCTCCCCCATTTTACAGAGGAGGAATCTGAAGCAGTAACATGCCCAAGGTCAAGCAAGGAGTGCGTGGCAGAGCTGAGAACTGAACCCAAGTCTTCTCCATCCCAGTCCAAAGACTTAAATACTGCAAGGAAGAGGATTTGGTGGCCAGACAACACTGGTGGGCCTCACCCAGGAAAAACTCCCACTCGTGTTAAGCAGGGATTTTTACCCAACTGCAGAATCAGACACACCCTCAACACACTCATACAAATCACAGCTCTGCATTGAGATAATGACTCAAATCTAAGCTCATACCTCAGGGCTTCACGTGGTCACCCAGGGTATGTCTAGACTATGTCCCTCTGTCGCCAGAGGGATGTAAATTAGACATACCAAAATTGCTAATGAAGCGGGGATTTAAATATCCCGCGCTTCATTAGAATAAAAATGGCCGACGCTTTTTGTAGACGCGGCAATTTGCCAGCAAAAAGTGGCAATCTAGACGAAGATCGGTCGATAAGGAAAGCATTTTCCAACCGATCCCTTACGCCTTGTGCAACGAGGTTTACAGGATCGGTCAGAAAAGGTTTTCCCTGTCAACCGATCCCCGTCTAGACTGCCGCTTTTTGCCGGCAAATTGCCGCATCGGCAAAAAGTGGCGGCCATTTTTATTCTAATGAAGCGTGGGATATTTAAATACCTGCTTCATTAGCAATTTCGATATGTCTAATTTACATCCTTCTGGCAACAGAGGGTTGTAGTCTAGACATACCCCCACAGAGGTTAATATTATCCCCTATGTCCAGCTATCTTCTGGGTTGGTGCATTGCTCCACTGAAGCATCAGAGACAGGCCAGAACTAGAGATAGGATCCTTACTGGGATGGACCAACACCCTGAGGTGGTTCAGGGAATCCTCTGCCTCAGATGTCTGGCCGGTATGTTTTGGTCCCATGCTCAGGGTCCAACTGATCACCAGATCTGGGGGAAATTCCTAACCTGATCCCAAGTCAGATTAGCTGGGGCCTTGGGAGGGTTTTTACCTTTCTGCACAGCATGGGGCCTGGTTCGCCTGCTAGGTATGGCTCACCTCAGTAATCCCTTGCTAGTGCAGGGGCCTCAGGCAATGAGGGCTCCTCAGTCTCTGCCTGGGGCACACAATAGTTTAGTCTCTTGAGGAGTGATCTGCTTTGCTCTTTTAAAGTCATTGGGCTCAATACAGGGGTAACTGGATGAAATGTAAAGGCCTGTACTACACAGGAGGTCAGACTACAGGATCCCTACTGGGCTTGAACTCTATGAAATCTAGGAACTCCAGCTGCCCCTCCAGAATACTGCTTACGACCATCAACAAAAAACAACAATAGATGAAAACATTTCTCATGGAACTCGGAACCCACAGGCACCCCCGAAGGAACAGCCTCACTTCCCGTCAGTACAGGAGCCAAGTAGAAGCAGGGCTGGGAAACACGTCATTCACCGGACAAGCCACTCTTGTGTGCCAAACTGGTGCACAGTCTGGGCGCTGATGCTTGGGCTACATCCAAACACCTGCCTTCATAGCGTCTCTGACACTGAACGGTCCAAAGATAGTGAGCTAGGCTCCAAAAATCACAAGTCTGACTTCAGTCATGACAGCAGTTAAAAAATTGCATCCTGGTTTCTGAGCCTTTTGGGTGCACATTTTTGGGTGTTGTACAATCCACAAGGGAGTCAGTGCTACAGGAGTCTATTCCCAGCTCTGGGACGGGAGTGAGGTGCAGTGAGTTACAGTAGAAGGCTGTGAATTAGGACACCCAAGTGACTCAGCTCAGTGACCTTGTGAAAGTCATTTCCCTTCTTTGTAAGCTGGATCTCTACTCCTTCACTGTGCTACAGAGTCTCCCTTCCAATCTCTAACTCCATGACAGATCTCAAAACAGGCTATCTGCTAGGAGTTCTCCCAGTTGATAAGGATTTGGGTGAAGGAGTATGGAATGGGGCAGCTTCCCTCTGTGTGAAGGGGTGTCCCCCATGCTATCTGGTTTTAAGCCTGAAAGGCCCAGAGCTCATTTCATTGCAGCTCAATGTTAGAGGGATGTGATTTTGCCAAGGATAAGACAAGATCATGGGAATAGAAGCAAAATTGCACTGCGGGATGTCAGAGCCTGCATGCCCTGACAGAGATAAGTGCCACTGAGCTAATGTTGAAATCTGCAGAGCAGGAGGAAATAGGGGTGTGAGTGTGGAGAGTGTGCAGGGGGATCAGTGTTCAGAGGATAGGGAGAGCGGGGAAGTGAGGCTTTTGTTAAGCAAACTCTGCCGACCAGAACAAACAGGCAGGCATTCACGTCACAAGTGGCCAAGAATAACAAGATGGTCACATTCCAGACCCTCATGCAGCAGCTGCTAGAAGGACAGAATGGGGGGCAGCTTGTGCCATCCTGCCTACTCCTCCATGTGCTCTCGTGACCCTGCCCAGTAGTGACCCCTCTCCCTCTCCCAGGCAAATTTCCTGTGAACCCAACTTGGCAGCGCCCTGGCAGCCAAGGAAAGGACTGCCTTGCGGTAAGACTGCAGGATGGAGAATCAAGACTCCTGGCTTCTATCCCCAGCTCTGGGAGGAGAGTAGGGTCTACTGGTTAGGGCAATGGGGCTGGGAGTCAGGTCTGGGGGATCCTTACTGCACTGCTGTCACTTGGGGGGCATGGAAGAAGTGGCTGTGCAGCACCTGGTATAACAGAGGCTTTAATTTCAGTGCAGGCCTGACATAACAAGATCATTTTATAAATAGTAAGAAAGTGAGAACACCAGATTAGGATTTGGGGCACTGATGTAGTGCAGTGAATTATACCCAGAGAATCTTGCTTTCTTGGTTCTTTGAAAGGCTACAAGCGTAGCTCTCCACCCCACCCCCATCTCAGTTGTTCAACAAAACAAGGCTGGCCACCCAGCGTTAAATAAAAAACCCTGTTAATCACCCCGAGCTAGCAGCACATGAAGGAGAATTGTGAAACGTTTCAAATGAGGGAGTTGAGCTTTGTGAAATGAGGGATCAGCAGCTTTCCTGGGCTCAAACATTTTGAGTGCTGTTATGTGAGTGTTAACCCTCCACTGACCACGCAGCTGGAGAAGGAAAATGACTAAAGGACTGGGAACCATGCCTGCTTCTCCTCAAGAGTTATAAGTTTATAAGTACTTATGTAGGGAACACAAATTGGATGACAGTCTCTTCAGTCTAGCATCCAAAGGCCTAACAAAATCCAAGGGCTGGAAATAGTAGCTAAACAAATTCAGGCTGGAAACAGGGCACACATTGGTAATGGTGAGGATCATTAACTATTGGAACAACTTCTCAATGGCTGTGGTGGATTCTTCATTGATTTTCCATTCAAAACTGGATGTTTTTCTATAAAATCATTCTAGTTCCAACAGGAATTAACTGGCCTAAACAGAGGAGAAAGTAAGCCAATGTGCCCTGGTGTGGTGCTCTGGCAAGAAGTAGGCTCGCTGGAGCACTCAGCTGCAGTGAGAGGGGCAGCACACTCCCAGCTGGGCTTTCAGGGCTTCCTGAAGGCCGCCATGCTAAGCAGCAGGCAGCCAGGCAGGAGAAAGGGGCTGTTTGGGGGCACGCCCCTGTCCAGGACTGCCTCAGCCCTGGGTGCCATTTCAGGAGGGCGGGAGGCTGCCACCACACATACTGGATCCCTGTTGCTTTTCTTCTCCTTCCCCAGACTGTCAGGGAGCAAAGAGAAATTGCACTGCCTCCTGCATTCCTCTCACTACTACCTGCCCAGGGAAGGAGAAGAGGAGGAATGCAGTAGGTTCTTTATTTTTGCCTTGCTCCCTCACAGTACAAGGAAGGAGAAGAAAAGCACCAGGGACCTAGTATGTGCGGCTGGAGCCCCCATCCGCCCGAAATGGTGCCCTTGCCCACCCCGCACTCACCCCTACACACACCCAGCCCCCTGCCCTGACTTCCAAACCGACATATTTCCCCTGCTCTGAGCCCCCCACACTCCCTGCCTCCTGTCCTGACCCTCCACACCCCAACCCTCTACCATGAGCCCCCTCCTCACACCTCAACCCTAACTCCTGCATCTCTCTCACCACCAGCCCCCTGCCCTGTCTCCTGCACCCCCCACATCCCCAACCTTGACTCCTGTACTCCACACACTCCGAGCTCCCTGCCCTGAGCTGCTCCTCACCCCCAAGCTCCTGCCCCACCTCCTTGTCCTGAGGGCCCCCCCTCAGGGAGGGGTGCAATATGACAGCATCTGTAAGTTATTTTCACCCCTGGACAGAAGATCAGACTAGATGGTCACTTCTGGATCTGAGAA